TGGTCATGTTTAAAATGAACTGTCTATTTACCATCACTTTTCAACGAAACTTGAAACTACTAATAAGTTTACAAACACAGATATTTGTTAAGATCCAACTATAACACAACGATTCACTACTCACTTGTCACTCTTCATCTGACCGATCTGTTAATTTGTAAATCAAGTGAGCAGTGAAAATCAAGAAATGAAACTACAACCGTAACAATTTTGCTGACATGCATACTCCCTATTGCCGTATTGTTGTTTGATGAGGCCGCCCCAACCGATAAATATTTGGATGAGTCTACGGATTGGTGAAACCGTGATTTAGTTAGCCAACAAATTGATTCGCGTTTTTTGAATATAAGTCGTGATCTTAAGGAATAGAACTGCGTTAGACCCTGTAACGATCGGCACATATTCGAATTACATTGATAACAGCACTTTTGTTTACAGTCTCAATATTGTCGACTTGATTTGACAGCACTTGTTGTGAAAGTGAGTTGATGAGACGAGCTTGAAAAGGGCATGACAAACTGTCAGTTTGTTTTTGGTGATTCAGAGAATACTAAAAGTAAGTGGATGGTTTATTGAGAGCAAATTACCAATATTGCATATTGTTCACAGATTTTGTTTGAAAAGCTATTTCATTGACGTTCTAAACAGGTTATCCCATCTATACATTGAAAACCGACGCCACATGGTCTTGTCGTTATGAATTAAAAGAGTCTGTATACCTCGAATCGACAGTGAACCTGACTCCGATATGAAGGTTTCTTGTATTTCTACAAGTTATGCTAGAGTATTTGTGGTTTGTGGTCTAGTTCCACGCTGTAGACATTATCACATGGATAAGGTATTTCTACTGCTTGCTATGTTTATGCTGTTTCGTTTTCATACAAATCTAACAGGTCATGTTCTGTGTGTCGATTGTTTTACTCATTCACAATACTTTCACAGAGACTCACGGCTTGATTGGGCTACTAGTATCAAGTGAGGAAAGGAAGAATACGATATCCATTACGTATTCACTTGCATCCACTTCGAACTTGAGATGCGATTTTTAACAGATACTGAGAGGTATCCTTAACATATACGCAATCAAGATAAACTACCACCGAGAATCACATTTGTGGAATCCACAGTAATATAAGTTGTAATGAATGATTCACTTATAACGTAGATAATTTCAGTGCAATAGGGCGCCGAAATAACTTGCCATAACAAACCGAAAGTCAAGAATAATCAGGATTAATGGTGAGTAATGCTACATAATGATATATGATTACGGGCAATGTCATCAGTCTCGCGTGATCATTGTACAACATGTGAATTCGATGGTAACGTTTATGAATTGAGCGACACATTTCACAACTTACCAGATGGAAACGAAGCATAGATACAGTGACCTATATTTTGAAAGACAATTAAGTAATATTCATCAGTGAGAACTGCAAATGAATTGTGTTTAGAAAAATTGAAGTGATAAATTGATGTAAATAAACTTCAAACAAAGCTCAAATAGACGGCTATCATTACGTTTGCCTGTTCTTACTGAAACAAATACGCAGTACAATTAAATTATCACTTTAGGAAAAAGAATGTTCGAGGTGGAGTAGGTGATTCGCATTTCGTTGAAGGAGCTTTCACGAGTTGATTTGGATGGCCGATTTGTTTTTATCACGCTTTTTCCATTGTTTCCTCATGCAACACCATCATCACATACTTCAGCAACTGTGGTAAGCATACCCAAATAACATGACAAACAGGTCGGTAGTAATAGAGATTAACGACTGCGTCGTATGACAGCTGGCAGATGTGGTTGGAATGCCAGCAAACACACTACTAGCAATCGTTGGCAAACCACAGTACGAAACGACTGAAGCGAACAACCGAAAGTCATTTACTAAATAGAGCGTTCTAATGACGAAAATTTCAATACCAAACAACGTTGATGCCTCCTTGATGTTTGTCCTCATGAACATCGATTAACAGTAAAAAGTTATGATGTATCTTCGTTTGGACCATTGCATGAGAACATTTGTGAATACTCGTTTGACTGGGAGAATATTGAAATACTTGATAGGAAGGATACTACGTACACCATAGGATCTTTCCGTAGCTTCATACCTAACTAAACCAGTAATTAACAATCACATCAAAATCATTACAGACTTTCAATCAATCGAAATATTCATCTGCGAAAATAGAACCAATAATTAGGTCGAAGCGGGATACAATTGAAATAAAGAGACAGATAATGTCGGATTGGCTAATACAAGTGATATCATTCAGAAGAATAATCCCGTTGTTAATAGTTTTGCCGAAATCACATCAGTGCTGTTGCATATGTGCAACATGCGTGCACAATATCCACATAATCTTAATCTTGATACAGACAGCTGACAAATCGCAAGTAGAAAAATGTGCTCAAATATATTCGTGTTAAAATGCAAAGACGGTGTTCCAGTATAATCAATTTTGAATGTTACCTGTATAGTTCAATTTCAAGTTTTCTAATTCAGAGATTCGTATAATTGACGGCAAACCTTGAAAATGATTTGGATGAAAAAATTCAACAAGACGTAATTTACACCATGATGTAAACCGACTTTGTGATATCGTAAAACTCGACAACAAGTAGAGGATGAGCCAAAACAAATAGACACTAAACAGAGAGAATTCATCAAGTGTGCAAACATACCGAGAGACGTTTGTTCCTTGTCAATCGTTTCCTCAGTTTGAGGTTCTTCACTCTGTATGGTCGTCTTCTCACCTAATTGACAGGAAGGCATCGAGAAATAAACCGACACAGTACGTTCAATGGGACCATGAAAAAGTCTAAAACTGTTGACTGAAAAGTCATTCACTGACCATATAAAAAATGTCATGTCTCAAGATCCTCAATTTACAAATCAAAGGTTGGAGAGAAAACATCAGTCAATCAAACACACCGAAAGACGTTTCTTCTTTATCAGTCGTTGTTCCAGGTTGAGATATTTTACTCTGTGTGGTCGCTTTTCCATCTAAATTACAGGAAGACATCGAGAAATAAACCGACAGAGTAATGAAATGGTCTAGAACTGATGTCTGAAATTTCATTCACCGGTCGCCGTATGTTCTTGTGTACTAATGCCTGACACTTGACGTGAAGTGAAACATTCAGTGGTTTCATCCATTCACTTCATCTAAGGTCCCATACATGAATGTTCTGATCAACAGAACTGATTCAGTGAAACTGGAAACTCAAGTAAATCGTAAGCCGACCAAGACCTATTACAGTAGAAACAACCCATGAACTCACAAATTCAACTGCGCACAAACTTTATTCAAGAGAGTGGAGACGCACTGCAACACACTTGTGGTGCGACAGGTGAAGGAAAATATCTGAAGAATATTTTCATCAAAAGAGCGGCTACCCGGTCAACCGCATCAAAAATATCAACCCAATGCGTCGGCAGAAACAAAATCAAGCACAAAATCCAACACAGAATCGTCCTAACACATATGAAACAGATATCATAAATCACAACGAGATTGTCGCAGCCGTTTGGAATAGGTTTGTGCACAACCAAGAAAAGTCACTTCAATCAATCCTATGCAAACAAAAGGACGAAACCGTGAGAGAAGTAAAACCGAAAATCATCTATAAAATAAATTGTTCCAGCTGCAATGACCGATACATCGTACAAAGTGGATACTATCTTCATCTTCACCTGCACGAACATCGATCGGCTGTCAGACTCCATGATCTATCCTCGCTTATATCAATGAATTCGGACAACTATGGTCACAGATTCGACTGGAACAATGTCGAGATTATGGATAGAGGGGTTGCTGTTAGCAGCAGAGAATTTTTAGAAGCTTAGCGCTCAGGTGAAATCAAGATGAAGAAACAGGCAATGACAGGTGAATCAGCTATCGATAAACACATTAAACTAGGTTCAATCTATCAACCAACCTATCATAAAGATCATGAACAAATATAGAATCATTAATCACATCAAAGGAGGTGAAATCAAGATTAAGAAACAGGCAATGACAGGTTCAAGATCAGGAGAACTTAACCTGAGTAACAGCACTTCAACAAGTATTTATAGTCATGAAGGTCGTATTACGAACTGTGGTTGACTTTTCCACTAGTAAATATAAAAGAGGAGATTCGTGTTTTTGTCGAGTGACAATATAATTCCTTTTGTGGAACTTGACGGTGTCTGTGGTCGAAGTATATCCAGTACCAAGAATATGTGAGATCAACGGGATTTCACCACCGCTCTGTATCATTTTATGTTCTAACAATGTGTAGCACAAGTCATACATACTACATGTGAAAGTGACTGCATGTGCTGGTCAATCGTGTTCCTGATTTTTATTAAACCGTGTAATTGAATTTCGTTGAGATCGACGTGGTTTCACTATCGAGTGTCGAGTGATAGGCATCTTTGTTTGTGACTAATACGATGAGAATACAGAAATGGCAATTCCTAAATGAATGACAAGTAGACATCGGGAAACAAATCAACAGAGTAAGTTCAGTGGGACAATGAAACTGTCTAAAACTGATGACTGAATAGTCATTCACTAACCACATAAATATAAGAATTGACATTTCTCTAGCTCCTTAATTTCCAAACCAGAGAGAGTGAGAGAGAAACCGTTAGTCGAGCGAACTTACCGAGAGTAGTACTCTTCTTGTCAATCGTTATTTCGGGTTGAGTTATTTTGGGAGGTTCTATCGTATTTTGACCTAAATAACAAGAAGGCATCAAGAAATAAACCAACAGAGTAACTTCGATAGGATAATAAAAGAGTTGGAAATGATGTCTGAAATTTCATTCACTGATCACTTTATGTTCTTGTGTACTTATGCCTGAGTGTATTTGTGTGCGTGTGTGCTTGTGTGTTTGCTCTCGTCTGCATTATTTTGATCTGCCGCGACATTTTTCAGCGACATTTGCGTACACTTGCCCTAAACATTTTGCGATAATAACTTTGCATTCTTCACCTGTTTTGCAGAATTACTCACCGCTTTCACCCTTATATAGTAATTCCATAATCGACCAGTAAATTCTTCTATATACATTATACTCTGAACAGCAATACCCTTTCTTCATAAGTTCTTGGTAGTTCATCGTCGTGCTTATATCTCCTGTCAACAAATTGAAGGAGCAGTTCGTCATTGTTTCACCGAATCCAGTATACATATTCGACATAACGATCTTCAACTGAAATCAAAATATTGAAACAGTGTTTTATGGCAATAATACTTATCCTGTAATCTACTGAAACAATATATTTTTTAAACAATTAAGTATTGAGTACTCTTTGGTATGTCATATAAGAACCCTGTGGGGACTTGATCTCATTATTCTATGAAATTGTTTTTACATAAATTATAATGAAAGTAGATAACAAACGATACGAAAGCCACATAACATTGATGATTGACATTCAGGTCTACAGAATATCAAGAAATTAATATATTCATCAACAAATGTCATCAAAACGAATATTGACGGACTTCTCGTTGAAATTGTGGGATTAACGGTACGAAGGTATCAAAACTAATGCAATCAACCTAAATCTGTAAACTCGTTAAATCAACACGTGACTGACACTTGATCGATCGACACGAAACGCAATGGATTCAAGAAAACTTTGTAATGCATGACCAGATAGAAACTCACCTCAGGGCACTTATCAGTATTTACTATACTCGTAGAATGTTTTTTTTGGAAGATATAGGATTCTAAAATGTAAGAATTTAATTAAATGTAGTTTGTAAAACGAATATTTACTCTCAACAAAATATTTCATAAATCGGTTTGTTAATCAAACCACTCTATTCAGTGGGTTCTGTGAGCTGTACAACATATCGATTTTCGTGTTGACTGAGGAATCTGTGATAAAAACAATAAAACCGTTCAAACATTATTTAAATTCACTAGTGATTTCATACTCGGTCAAACTATTGTGACGTTCGTTGTGACGAGGACGTGAAACTGATGCAGGAATGGTTATCAAAGTTTATGACCGAATTATCAACACGATTAGCAATTTGAACACTGTTGAGCTGGACGGATCGAAACCAACTTGCCGAAGAACACGTGAGCTTGTCTATAGTAAGAAAATCACTGAAATGCAGCGGAGTGACATACAGCATAGCAGTTGAATGATATTTCCGATCAATCACTTGGTTCCGCTGTGTGGATTTAATGCGAGTGTGCTTGTGTGTCGAATATTTTCAAGCGCCTCAATGTCGGAAGCGTGTGACTGAGTAAATTGTGGCGAACAATTTCAACGGCCTTAACAAGGCGATCGTTCCCGCACACGTCCAATAAAATGTATAATTTACCTAAAATTGGATCTCCGATATTACTTTCGACTGATTATCGTCGCTCGGTTCACACAACAGTCAAAAATAAAGCAATCGACACATATCATCTTGTCACATTTACACACTTCTGTTGAGATCATCAAGAAATAACAAGAAATGCAAATTCAAATCAACAGCCTCATATATATGTAGGACAACTCACCACGGCCAATGGCTGTCGGATCTAAAATTCACAATAAATATTATTTTGCGGTTGATGAAAACTGACTGACTCTTTCACTCATTCGACAACTCACATTTACAAATCATTACACATCCTTCACTTAATAAATTCCTACACCACATTCACAGATTATTATGTTCAATATTTCTCAGTATCACTGACTTCAACAGATTTTACACAAAACTACACAAAAACTACAGAATTTATTATGAACTTACCACTCACTGAAACGATATCTGAAATGGAGTGCAGCATATTTACTACTTAGTGATGAGAACTGCAAGCTATGTTATCTCAAATGAACACCGTACATATTGATCAAATGTGGATATCAACTAGAAAATTGTTGTGCATTGATGATTCACTCACCAATTATCCACGCGCTATTCGCACTCACATTACCCGATTCAAGTGTATTCTTCAACGATGGGAACCAGGTTTTCGATGAAAATACTTTTTCCATTTCACTCGGTAACACTGCGAGTTCAACCTTTATATTGTCTTCACCGATATCCTCTGGCCTTTGTGTGTGATCGATATCACAAGAAAGAGTAGCAGATTTCAATTTTGGTTCCAATTCCTTCACCACATCCAAAACCTTTAAGAAATCACATGAAAACACTATCCGTCAGATTATTTCGTTCAAGGTTTTGTGAAAGTGATCATTCTAACTCGAAATGTAAATTTTATTGTTATTCACATGATTATACATATCTGAATATTTATGTCTATTTACTTCAATATAAACATGGTTACTCAGACTTACAATAACCAAACACTGAATCATAGTAATTTCTAACATTTACCCTTTAGCAACAAAATTCAATTTTTGCGTACTTTACAAATTTTCACATCAATGTACACGTCCCATTGCAACACATCATCTAACATTAATTGCTGCGCGTTCAATAAATCAATGAGTAGGTTCACTAGGAGATTCATGTTGTCAATATATATGAATATAGATTGAAGTAAGATGACTCGAATAATGTTATCATACACGTCTCTTCGTGTTTGAGAACTCGATTGAGAGCTTCTAGACTTACATTTGCACAGTATTTATCCAAAAACGTTAGGGATTCTGCTACTCCTTTATTTTCAATTATTACATCCCATTCCTTAACACGGACAGAGAGCGTATTTACAACGATATCTAAAAAAATCGAAATTTAATTACATTAGATGCAGGCATAATTCAAACACGAAAGTCATTCAAAACATCGGCACGACACTCGTGGAGGAAATCGTACATAATGCATTTCAAACGTGTCTAGACAGAGTGATCCAATATACGATTACTGATTAGGAGTTATTAAGTGAATGAGCTAAAGCAAGAATCAACAATACATCGAACCAAACAAAACTGGGATGATCATCTCAATTTGTTCCAAACTGAAACCATGAAACTCGTAGCTCATGACGATATTTACTGTAGTTTGGATGTAAGAGAAGAATATGTGTGTTGAGTTAGAATGAAATAATGATTACTTTGTACTTGTTGAATGTTTGGTTTCGGATTCGAAATACAGTTCATTCCTTCGTGCTTATATAGTACTTCTTGATCCGATTGCGTTATTTCTGGGATTCTTAGTTCGTACTATAATTCAAATATTCCTAATTATCACAATGTGTCGCGTCTGAACTTCAAACCAAATTGTACTGCATATTTCATTCGATATACACAAAAATAAACGACGTTCGATTAACATTTTATACGAAACGTGATTTAAACGCAGTTCATCAGATGATATTACCGTTCATCTAACTTACCGTTACTTGAAAACTGAAGAGTCTGAGCTGCCACTTCTTGATCTGCTGTGACGTCAACAAAAAACAATGGAAATTATGAAGATGAAACATTTACATGAATCGAGAAACGCTTCATCAGTTTACTGACGAGTAGACACAACAAGTGACTGGTCAGTGAGTAGTGACCAGCATCACATTTACATAATGGTATTAACGGCGTTTAGCATTGAGTGAATTAGCCACTACGCAGCATTCGGTCAACAAGTAATTCGCATATAGACAAGAGTTCAGCTGTCGAGTGACTATCATCATGGACAACGATTTTAGATATTACTGGCAATGAACTCCAACCACCGAACAAACTAGGAGTATGTTTATCAAGAATCATTCAAAATAATATGAGCTGTTTGTTTTCGTATGGAACCACTAATTCTCGTCTTTCATTTGGAAGCAATACCATCACACACATATTCACAACAATAGACATTTGCTTGATCAACTGACTAAACACGTCTACTGTGATCCAATTGATCTACTGTACTTCAAACACCTTTATATTGAAGAAGGTTTTCAAGTGATTATCAAAATTCATAGAGTCTCGTCTGTTTTTCTGTGAAATCTATGATGTATTGGTCAACATCAAATCCTATTGCATGTGATGTGCGGTGCAGTATGCTTCCATTGAGTGCCATTTATTCATTTCTCCTGTTGACAACTTCATCTACAAAGAGACTGATGACACTCGAATATGTTCACAGCGTTATGTGGAGGTTCATCCGTCAAATCATCGTGATTTTATCATCGTCGCAAGAAGTACACATAGATTGTTCACGCTACACTGAAAACCACTTAGCGATAACAGTGTAGACTGACTGTGTCACAGGATTTGAAAAACTGGGTGTTGACACAGTCTGGTGAACTGTTCACGAGTACAATTTGTGGTTTAACAGTTGTCGTTCATTAATTTGAGTTTCCATACTAGAACGAATCATTTCTTGCGTGTTCTCTGGTCATCACTGTTAACCTAGCAAGGGTCAGCCCATGATTCGAACTGACGATTTTGAACAACGTCTCGTGTAACAAACACAGACATCATACGTAATCACTTCACAGACGATTTCGTCGTTTATTATTCGTAGTTCTCATTTTTGAGAAACCATCTGATTTCAAGCATCACGGTTGTATGAAAGCTCCACTTCAAAGCTTCACTAAATGTTTAGATTTAACGTCTTTCATTACTTCTACTGACGACAAATATGAAGTAAATTCAAGTTTTCCACTACGCGTTCAATCAGGACATTCTTCCACTGATTATATCATCCAACGGAGATCAATTGAAAACTTCAGTCATTCATATTGATAGTAAGTAAGAACAGTGTTAAACGAGAACTTTCTTTATGGTTCTTCCATAAGGATTACAAACAGGCAAGTATTACAACTTATGCTGAGGTCACATTGTATCACGTGATACAGGTAAATGTCATGCAGTTTTGTCAGGACAATATTGCTTTCTAATATCGTCATGTCAGCAAATTTCAAAATGCTTGCGGTACACGAACGATCACTTCTTATTTACCAATCAATGACTTGGGCAAGCCTTATTGGAGCCTGTAGACTATCAAGGCATTTGACTTATTATAATACCCTTACGCTGTTCGGAATTAGTCATAAGGTAGCAGAACTTAGTATGATTTCATACTGATTGATACTCAACGGTGAATTATGTTGTGATTGTAGGAGAATCAATGCTCTATGTTGAGATCGAATACGTGTGAACATCTTTCACAATAAGAAGAGCGCTCGTCAACGCACACTAAGGACGGTTGACTTCCTTGTCAATCGAAATATTTAAAACGGTTAATCACCGTGTAGTGACTAATGACATTATTACTGAGTGATTATTTATGTCAAGTACATCGTCATATGAATGAAAATAAAGATGAAAACGCACATTTAGAAACGTTTCAACCTTACCTGCATTGCAGACCTGGAAAAAGAAGAGAAACCAAACAACTGCTACTTGTGATCTAAACATATGTGCTCTTTGTAATTCACCAAGTATTCTGAAATCAATTACACAGTTTACGTCCTGATTCCTGTTTAAATACAATGATAACGTGTCATTCTAGTCACAAATAAAATGTATATGATTGGCAAGTGTGAAGATAGAAGTTATCCGACTGGTCGATGCCACATTTTTTAGACTATGCCAAGGTCAAAATCAATGTGAATGAGACCATCATTCAAGAAATCAATAAAAGTAACCATCACGTGTAACGAGATAGAGTCCAAACAAATAGTCATTCAATCTTTGATAAATTCATCAAACTATTTTTCATCTTCTGGTCACCTCTCTCATTATCACACACCAGTTTTACTTGAGAACCTGAAATTAAAACATTTACCACACCGTTTAACTTCACTCCATCCTGACCACACATTCCCTGTCAACTTGCCTATCCGCCTATTCAGTTTCCGGCTGAAATATCCTCGAAGGTGTTGAAAAAGAATAATGGCGTGAGAGCCTCATACCAAACGAATTTATGTTGATGTAAGGAAACCAATGTTCCAAGATTAAATTCATTCGGGCTCACCGTGATTTACGCTCAGTCCATTTATAGTGCAAGTAAACTTCTTAATCAATATGCGTTTCTATTTCCGTGATACAGTTAATGGCAATGAATGTGAAGATCTATGTGCCAATATATCGGCATAAAACAATTGGATGTGCAACATTCATTAACAATTCTCTCCCTCTAAAAATAGTAAAGATTTCAAGCTAATTAGTGTCATACGTTTCGAGTTTACATATGGAATAGAATGCGACGACATTCTGCACGTCGAGCGTTACCCATTGTATTATTTTAGTCTGATTCCGTTCACCATGCCAAGTCGTTGTGATAATTGTAATATTAACGAAACATTCTCATATGTGACAAAACTACTCCACATGTATTTAACGTGATCAGTGAGAATATTGAAGATGAAAGTAGTATATATTGGGCTGCACAACTCATTAATTCAAGGTCGAAATGACAAAAGGATTACTGAGAAATCGGTCATCGATCCCGTTACTTGTTGCACTTATCAGTTTTATATGTGCATATTTTCCATCATGTCGACCACCAATAGACCGAGAATCTTCTTTTATATTATGTCGATGTCCAGCCTTCAGGGCGAATTGATTCATTGTTCGTGAACCGCCTCTCTTTTCAAAAACATTCTTGTCACGTTCTACATTTAGAACAAATTGGAACTCCACCGTCACAACGTGAATTATTAGGGGTTTGGACTGCTCCATGAGTGCGTAAATATGAGTACAGACTTCAGAAACAGATTATGACTGCTAAGGGCTGGCAGAAATTGAGAGTTTGATCTAGTTCTGGGTTATCTCACCCAGATCAAATTGTTGATATGCTCGATTCTTCTCGTGAGCTTGAGTGATGGTGTGATTATTAGGTCCGTTGAATAATGTTAGACATCTGTGGTGATTGTAGAATGTGGAT